AGCGTGCTTATATGTAAATTGTATTTGTTTGCTTAAAAAGGTTGCCGGCGATTTAGCTGGGAGTCCTCACATTGATTAACTTTTGTTTTCATCGGCATTTGGGTGTAATGAATTTAAGGCGTGTGAGACGATGTAGGCAGAGCAAGGAATGAACTCATAAGTGAGGTGATGAGGTAGAATACTTTATTTGGAAAAGGGGCAATGTTAAAAATTCATCATAATAGTGCTGCTTGTGGGGGGTAGATCTGAATACAAGAAGTGTACACTTACTCGAATGGCAAGAAAGTGTAATCAAAATGAAGAAGCTATGACTTTATAAGCAGATGCGATGGAGGAAGGAAGGAAGTGATCTAATTTGTTTCCTCATCTATTGTGCCATAAAGGATCAGTGATCCCTACGATCTGCCCTGCGGACACACCTTTTGCTTAAGGCCATGTCTGCTGCCATATGCCAAAACAGAGACGGTACGTTGCATCTACTGTCATGAGGAGTTTGATGCCTCGGCACTGCGGCCCAACTACGCCGTTGGAGCAAGGCTCTGCCTGATCGCCTTGCAGCGTGACCAAGAGCAGAAGAGGGGTCAAACACAGGAGCGGGTGGTGGAAGATGGAGGGAAAGGTGAGGAAGAGGAACTGGTTGATGAAAGAGGGGATGGAGGAAATGCACGCATATTGACGCGGTGCAGCACCTGTCGGAGTCAGACTCAGGCTAAACTATTGACCTTTTGCCACCATTGCTATCGTCGAATCTGTGTGAATTGCCATGCGAAACATCGAGATAGTGTAAGCACTAGTGATTTGTAAAATGGCATACAAGTTACCTATTTATCTCAAAATTCTTATAAATTTGAGTTAATCACATGTCAATAAGTGACTCATGACCGGTCATACACATTTGAATTTGTCATTCGCCTCTGATCGTGGTGCTGACAGCAGTTTGGTGTGTCTTAGAAGCAGGTGAAATCAAGTGCTTTCATGATATATATGCAAAAAGTAAATTCTACCATTTCTAGCTATAATAAGGTGTTAAGATAGTTGATTTATTTTTATTTGGACTATCGGACTGTAACGTCAAAAGCGAAACAGTGCATTGCGTTTCTAACTGTTCACCTTCCCCCTTCTGCACACAGTACGTCGAAAGGCTGCGTGTGAAATTGAGTCCTCTATCGTTGAGCAAAGCGAATCTAGAGTCGCAGCTGTCGAAGTTGAAGTCAACTCTGGGAATAGGGAAGGGTACGAGGGGCAGCATCTTGAGTGCCGTGGAAAACGCGGCGATTGAACTGCGTACAGCGGCAGACAAAGCTCTGGAAGCCGCTACCACAAAATTAGATGTGGCTGTTAATGCTGATTTTAAAATTGCGGATGAAGTGCTTTGCCGTATAACAAACCTTTCTGTCAAGGTCGCCAGAGCAAAGGATATCTCTACGTCAATAACAGACTTGG